CTCTTTCCACATCTCTCTATCTCTCACCTCTGCTTCTGAATTCCTTCCCCCCCCCCCCCCCCCGATTGTTTTCCCTGTTCTCTTTTCCCTCTGCCAGTACAAACCCGGGAATAGATATCAGAAGAGGCTATACTGTACAAAGGGATCCCTCACAATCCCCCTCGTGAAAGCAGATACACACCACAGACAGTCTGTGCCCCGGCTTCAGCTTCCAAATGTTTCTTTGTTAAGTGCAGACAACTGGGCGAGTCAGTTTAGCACCACACTCCATTTATATGAAGCGTTTATGGAGTATTTCTCTGAATCTGAGGGAACCAGATGTTGGTGTTTCTCTCTCTCCCACACTCACACACACACACATGCACACACACACCATCACGCTGTTAATTGAGGTAATTGAAAAACCAGTCTGTCACCATGGGGGTTGCTAGCATCTTGCGGTTCAGCTTTTGTATAAGTAGAATTACAAGTTGTCACACAGACACACTCATTCACCACACGTAAATGCACACTTTCACGCACACAGATGCACACACAAATCTAAATACACAGTCCATGTATTCAGATCTTTGTGGGGATTCTCCATTCATTTTTATGGGCATGACCCTAATCCCAACAATGACAACCTTAACCCCTACCCAGCCCTAACCTTAACCATAAGTAACCAAACTAAATACAAGGCTTTCAGCATTTTTAGCTTTTTGATTGCATTCACAGATTTTTATAAAATCGACACTGTCCTTTTGTGGACTGAAAAAACGTCCCCACAAGGTAAAAAGTTGCAGATTATCATCACATTATCGCATTCTTATCACAATCTGGTCCCCGCAATGTAATAGTTACAAAAACGCATTTCCATGCTCTCATGCACCAACTCCCAAAAGATGTTCAGGAATCGCGTGTCACCAAGGTGAAGGTGTAGCTCTCACAGAGGCCAGATGTTGCAGAAGCTTTTCTTGCACACGTGCAGCTCGCCTGAGGATGTCCTTACTCCCTGACTCCATCGAGACTGCAGTTCGACTAAAGTATATGAAAGCTAAAGAATGGTTTCTTTGTGTGTCTGGATATTGTGTCATTCATTTAGTCTGTCACTTTACAAAGCGTCTAAGTTGCTGGATTAAAAGAACATAAATGAAGTTCTCAGTCTTTTTGGTTCCTCCAACACAGTGTCTGTGTGTTGTATAGTCGTCCAACTCTGGGTATTCTACAGTGTGATCTGAAATAGACACTATTTGAATCACACCCAGGCGCCAGAAATGTAAGGGACAAACAGCACAAAGAATGAAGAGTAAAGAATGCAATCACATATCACATCTCCTCCTATATTTTTCTGGGTGCTATCTCCACATCCTTCTGTGATTGTTACATGTTGCGTATCTGTATCCACAGAAGGTTTGCCCTGTATTTTACTGCCTTGCTCCATCTGTCCAAAACTCCTGGGCTCACATCCGTCTCCATTCCTCCTCCCTGTTTTATGACATCCCTAATAAGGAGATGTGCTTCCCAAAAGCCTCGATGCCATTCATTTAGTGGTCTCCAAGCCAAAGATAACATGCTAGTGTTTATCCTATAGGGTCTGTTTGCTAAGTGGCATCCAGGCATCCTGTCATGCTTTGCTGCTGCAAACTGCTACAGAACCATCACTGGCCAAGACAGAGCTGCATGCTGAATGTGGTGAAAAGAGTGGATGGTCCAGGAGAACTGGAGTTATATCTAGGTACCAACTGCCACAGTTTGCCAAAAAAGGCACTGTTTTGTCTGCAAAGCTGGACATAGCTGTGAGTACTGCAGAAAGACGGTGAAGTTTCATATGCCACACACACATACACACGCAGAGGTCAGCTGGCCCCTGTTGCTTGTGGTTATCAGTATCTCTGCTTCCTGTATTAGCCCTGGGGAAAGAGAGTGAGAATGAAAGAAAGAGAGAGAGAGAAATTCAATATATTTGACCCACAGGGAGTGAAACATGGGAGATAGAGGGAGGAAAAGAGGGAGAGAGAGCGAGTGACAGAAAGGGGGGCAGGAAAAGAGGCTGACGAGAAGAGAAGAGGGTAGACGAGGGAACAGGGGGAGGGTCTGTTTAGAGACGTGAAGCAGGCAGCCTTGCAGGGGGGTTGGGCTATGTGTGTTTTTTTTTTTTGTCCTCTCTGCACTCTCTCTCTCTCTCTCTCTCTCGAGCTGCTCCTTTTCTTTCTTTGTCTGACTACTGAGAGGTGGAAAAGCAAGCGAAAAGAGTGTGTGTGAGGGAGAGAGAGTGAGAGAGAAGGGAAGGGGAAGACAGGAAGGAAGGAAGGGAGGAAGGAAGGGAAGAGGGAAAGGAAGAGGGAGAGATTCACACACACTCTTTTTTTTGGGAGGATTTTTTTCTTTCTTTTTTTTTTTTACACAGTAGAATCATCGCACGGCATCCAAGCCCCAGCATCTCTGGAGTGCTTTTCTGTGAAAGAGCATCACCAGAGCGCCTCAGCAAGGGGAGGTTTAAAGGGAGAAAGACACGAGGTGGAGTGTGGACCCTGTGCTCCTGGAGGTGCTGCTCCTGCTACTGCTCCCACATCGGCAAGGTAAGCATGCAGGAGCATCCATGCACAAACATGCACCCTGCTTTAGAACAGAATTCCTAAAACAGGTGACAGGGCAACTTGGAGCATGCGGTTTCCTGCTTTTCCTGCCAGTCTCTTTGTTCTCTTCCCTAAAAATGAGAAGTCAGGCTCTCTCTTGCTCTCTCTCTCTTCCTCGCTCTCTCGCTGCTGGGCTACAACCACGGGTGGGCTACTGTGAAATACAGCCCCATATGTCTTCAGCGGAGTGGCTCAGCATGTGTGCGTAAGGGCGCACACTAGGGTGCAGGTTATAAGGTCGGGTCTGTTTTGTATAGGAAGCTGTGGGTCGCCAGTGTCATCAGCACTCAGAAAGGCGTGTGCGCGTGTAACCGTGCGAGTGTGCGCGTGTGACAGAATAGAGCCCCAATCCACTCTACTCTACACCGTCCGCGTGTTGCACGGCAGCGCGTCGGTCACTGATCTCTGTGTTTCTGCGCAGCGAATTGGTCTCCCCCTGTACATCAATCACTTGAAATCATTCAGTGGAGGATGATGATGCCAGTTACCATGACGATGCCCCTTCCTCGGGGAAAAATATTCACGGCGGAGAATGGGTGCAGCGCCCATATAGGTCTCTGTTCTTCACGCCTGTAAAACCGTTTCCGCTAATGTAAGCGTGTGAGCACGGATCTGAGCATGCACAGATATGCGCAAGCACTACTGTATGCGTGTATTTAAACGCAAACCACCGTTTTCGGTGTCTTTCCTTAAACTGGGTGAAATTTCTGCAGAGGGTCGTTAAGCCATGTGGCTACAATGGGGTGTGGTTTAAATATGGGGGTGTAACATTACCCTCTCCCTCCTTCACCAGGAGGGCTTGAATCCATAAATCGCCAAGTGGTTCTGGGCCTCCTGTCAGGATGCTGGGGTTTGGCTGAGCCTGAATGTCACCTCTCTGGCGAAGCTGCTTCCCGCTTCACTACACCGGTGTGTTCCGTGCGCGTGTCCGTCGCCTGCTGTGGGTGGCCAAGCAAGCTCTTGCACTGGGTTTCTGGGGCCATTGCATGCTTCTCACTCTGGTTAATTATTCAGGTGTCCCACTGTCATCACAGTGGAAAAGACACTCACTTGAAATACACCGTGGATCATGTGTGCAGCTGAAGGCTCACAGCTTTTCATTTTGCTCACTTCCATTCAAAATTCAGTAAATCCAGTACTTCATTATTCTGCGAAGCTGGGCTATTTATTCACTAATTCTGTGCCTTTATTGAAATTTGTAGTAGAAATGTGGATTTTTTTCAGGCTTATTTAACTGACAGCATTATAGATTAAGCGTCGCTCTTTTGCTCTGAACCTGCAACTTTCTGAACCTGGGCCTTAATCAGCGCATCAGCAGCCTTCTGGTCAGTGGTGGCGTCTTTCTGCTCTGTGAGTTATGCAGTCGCCCCTTCCAGACAGGCACTTTATGCCACAAACATGCCGTGTATTTTACCAATTGTCTTTTCTCACCTACTTTACTACCAGCTGTCAGTCATCAATTTCACAACCCCCCCACCCTGTTAACTGTATTGCATATAGTAGGGTGGCAATAGAAAATTCAATGCCCCCCCCCCACAAAAACATAGCCATAGAGTACTGTGTGTGCCCTGCAATGGACTGACATTATCTCCATGATCTTCAACTCCCTACTTCCCTTTTTCTGCCTTGTCTACTTCATGTCCAACTAAAAATGCCAAGATTACTTTGCAATTTTTTTTTTTTAAGAATTCTTGGTTTGCTCGATAGACATTGAAATGCTAATGTCTATGCATGCACATTTTCATGTGTGTTTGCGTGTGGGGGGTGTTTTAGACATAAGCAGTTGTCAGTTACTAAAACTCAAGTGTAGACAGGAAACCAAAAGACCAAATGTGTTTTTACAGCCTTGAGACACATACATAATTCACACAAGCCTCACAAGATGTCATACATGCCTATTGGAGGCTTGGGGTCACATGAGGCTTCAGGCCTCTGGTGTACCAGTGAGGTTTAGTGTGCAGGGTGACACTTATACTGGCACTGCTTGTGTTATACCTATGCAGGTGAGCCTCATCAGACATGACACCCTTAAAAGCTGACTGGGTTTCTGTGTCATTTCATGGCCATTAGGGATCAGTGACCCCCCCCCCCCACATGAGCAGAATTGCTCTGTACCCCTTAGCCCTAAGTACCCCTCTTACATAAACAGAACTATAGTGTCAGTGTCCCTCATATTCACAGAATTAGAGTGTCACTGCAAATGCACATTTACAATGATTGTGCCCCAGTCACATAGGCTGGCTTATTGTGTTAGTGCCAGCCCCCCCCCAAGAGTAGAATTAGTGTCAGTGTCCCTGTTCCACATTGCTAATGTCATTTCCCTGTCACATTTTGAGTTATAGTGTCAGTGTTTCTGTTACATTGCATTGTAGCATCACTGATCTCTCTCACAGTATCACCTATAGTGTCAGTTTCTATATCTCACATCGAGCTGTAGTATCAGTGTTCTCTCTCACAATAACAGCTAGTGTCAGTATCGACATCTCACATCGAGCTGTAGTATCAGTGTTCTCTCTCACAATAACAGCTAGT